AGAAGAGAAAATACAAATTTAAGTCCAGGACATCGAGCTGTTAAAATTCCCTTCCCCCTCTGTAACAGCCCCTCTGAGAAGCACAGAAATAAGCTGTTTTCAGGGGCAAGGAGGGAGGCTAACGCAGCACACAAGATCCTCCACGATCATCCTGTCTGCTCCATGCAAGGGGGAACACACCGCACTGGGGAGCAGGGGGGGGCTCCCGGATGGGTTTCAGCAGAGCTGTGCAAGAGAATTACAGGGAGATGAACTTCACGCCCAGCACCTCCTCCCTGCCCGCTGAGGAGGGGGAGCACAGAGACCATAAGCAATCTAGGTTTAACTTATTTCATTTTTTACTAAGCCTGTGGTCCCTTTGAACACAAATCTACCCAGATACCAGAGCCACCAGACCTCGGTGTCTCCCGTGCAGCACTGGAGGGGTGAGATCGGACCCTGGGTTGCCAGAGGCTCTGGAAGAAACATCAAACCCCAGGTGGTGTTTTGCAGTTTCCTGCAGGCTTGCTGCCTTTCAGATGCTTTGCACCTGCAGACAACAGATATTTCCAGGCTAACAGCTGCTTCTCAGCCCCTGTCATTTTGAGTCACCGCGTACGAAGTTAAGGCTTACAGGAGTCGTGAGTAACAGCGTGGTTTCGCTCAGATTACAGCAGGATGGTGATTCACGACAGCTCAGAGGGGAGGGACGTGCTGCAGGTTGGAGCTTTGACCGCCTTGGTGCGGCTGCTTCGCATAGCGGCGCTTCTCCCGGTGCTCCCCCTCCAAAAAGCCAAGGAACAAGCGGCATTAACAGGAGAGCTATGGCTCCAGGGCTGGCTAAGACCCACCCAGAGGGATGCTAACACCAGAGGGTGGTCAAGCAGGGGAAACGAGCAGACTCCCTCCTCCGTACAAAATAATGTCCAACCCATCCAAAGAATCTCCAGGGAGCAGACAAGTCTGGAAAACAACAATCCAGGCTCTGCTGGGAGAGGGGACTGTGCCAATAATCCTCTACTGTACACAAAAAAAGCAGCTGGCATGCTCACATGTCACCTGGCCCAAAGGTCTCTCCAGTCCCAAAGGGAGCAGAGGCAAATCCATAGGGGTACATTAATGGGACAGCATGGCCAAAGGCCAGGGCTGCTTGTTTTCACAGTGGGGAGACCAATTACAGCTGGCTGATTAGTCCATTTATCCGAAACAGAGGAAATTGAGTGTACGGAGCCCTCCGTCCATTGCAAACCACTGCTGCATCCAAAGCAACGGGACTCCAGTCCACCCCAGTGCTCCAGCTTCCCACTCCGCATGCTTCCCCCCTTTCATCCAAGGCTTTGAGTCTCTAGGAAGCCAGTTATCCAGATCAGCTCCCCAGACTCTGCGGGCAAGCAAGCTGAGACCACACACTTCCCAACTCCCTTTTCCACCCTACGGCATTTAGATGCCTCCTTTAATCCCAAGGCTAAAGGGGGTTAGAGGAGTTGGCAGGACAAGCTGTGCAGCCACACGCTGAGCTGCTGTGGGAGAGAGGAATTATGAACCTTTAATTCTAATGGCCATAAAAACCAAAAGGCAGGAGAACACAGCAGTATGCTGCAGTATCCCACCCCTGCCCTGCTCCTCCCTGGCCAGAGCGGCTGTTCCTTCTCCAGGAAGGACTTTAGGCTGGGTTCAAATCCCTGGCTCTGGGAAATTGCTGGAAGAGCCACACATGAGTTTACAGGGACCTTGCAAAGGGAAACATGCTTGAAATATCTTTCTTCTTAAGAAAATTATTCCGGTAAATCTCGCCCAGATTAATTTAGCACAGCCAGCCTTTCCTGTTTTGAGTCTCTTCACAGCTCTCTCAACAGGTTGCATCAAGAGAAACCGTAAGGATGACCAGTGTGCAAAGGCTTGCAGGGAAATACCCATTAGGGGCAAGAAAGCAGGAGAAAATACCCCCACAGACAAATACAGAAAGAGCCTGACTTACCCTACTGGCACACAGCTCGGGTGGAGACGATCGTAACTGCCAGCAATACAGACAAGCGACTGACATTCAAGTCTTTCTATGCCAACACCGCATGGGCTTGTTTACCCCACTTAAACAGAGGAGCTTCAAGCAGAGCATTTTTGGTTGACCACAGTTCCAAACCGGCTGCCTCCTCCATCCAAATAATTTCATAAACCTACATTGCACAGACGATCGAGTTTTGTGCCTTAGTCAATGCCTTAGGCTGGGCATCAAGACAGCTCTACACAGCCTGTCTTTCAGAGCAAAGGAGAGGTTAAGCAGCTGATCTGCTGCCAGAGACATGCGCTTGGAAAACTCGTGCTAGAGAGACGGACGCAGGAGCTGCAGCCCATGAAGTCACATTTGCCACATAAAACCTAAGTAAGTGGTGTGGCTGTCGGGTTCCCACAGCGTCACCTGTCACGAGACCCCTGACATGAGATCATGTCTGGTAAGACATCAGTTTTCATCCAGACGTAACAGACTGCTCTCTGGCTAGCCTTTCCTAAGCATCACCTCCACAAACCTCTCAAGAGGAACCACCCTGTTAGCCCAGTTGACCCTGGCCACTTCAGAAGCACAGGAAGACACAAGAAGGCACTGTAAGGGCCACCCAGCCAGCCTTCGACCTTTAGAGTGAGCCACCATGCAAGTGTCCCGCACGCACTAAGACAGGCAAATCAGTAACCTGGCTGGCACAAGCCTGGCATACTGGAACAGCGCAGCAAACATCAAAGATGGAAAAGGGTCACAGGACCTGTGGGACCAGCGACTGGAGCTGGGATGTCTACAGCCACCATCAGGAAAGCGCTATATTTCAAGCCGTAACGCACAAAGTGGTCTCAGTTCCCAGGCAGGTGCTTTGGTGCACGTGTGCCAGTTGCAACCTCCTCCTCTGAGGTGGAGCAGGGCTGCTGCAGTGCAGGGGTGCCCACAGCCTCTCCTCCCCTCGCTCCAGACATCACCAAGGTCTCCCCCTACCCCAACCGGCATGCAAGGTAGCAGGCCTCATCCCCTCGCAACTGCTACCTGCTCAACGCGCCTTAGCATTTGAGTCCCTCCCAGCTTGGGATCAAGCCATGGTCTACAGAGACAGGATTTGGAGCCCAGCGTTACGCCAAGGAAGTATCAGTCCTACCTGCACAATGTCCAGCACCATTCCAGCAGCAACTGTCCCAAAGCCTGCCAGGAGGAACGGAAAGAGGACTTGCAGCCCGATGGAAAAGGAGGTCTCCTTGAGGGGCGAGGCTGGCTCAGGACCTCGGTCTGTGCTGGTGTCATCACTTTCATTGCTCTGGCTGCCGTTTTCCAGCAGGGCATCTTCTTCTCGCACCCCTTTAGCGTTAGCACGGGACTCCAACACCACCACTTCTACCCCATCACTGTCAGGTCCCAGGAAATCCGAAGGCTCCACCAGCTGCCCCCGGTCTGGACTGGTGAGACAGTCCACGGGCACAATGGGCAGCACAGCCCCATTGGCCTGGTGGGTCTCCTTCTGCTCTGGCTTGGAAGACATGCTGCAGAGAGGCTATCCTGACCTTCGGCTTGGTGGGCCTACAGCCAGCAGCTGTTCCAGAAGAGCTCTTCTGCCAGGAGCTTATACAAACGGCCTTTCCAGCATCTAGAGGCAACCTCTCCTATCCCTGCTCGCCTGCCTGTGAGTGCAGAGACTGTTCCTGCAGCAGAGATCCCCATCAAGCAAAGTCCAGGAATGGAGGGCACCAACCACTGAGCTAGCAGGGAACACTGCAGGAACTGGGAACTACCGCAAATTCACTCCAGTCCTCCTCCTCTCCAGCACTGTGTGGTACAGCGGCCACCGAGACAGGATCCAAGCTGTCCTTCTTTGATGTATGACACTTTAGTGCATCTTTCTCCAGGTCTTCTTCCAGCAGCACGACTGCTGTGATGGGGGCACACAAGGCAGAGAGAAAAACAGATGAAGTAAAGACCACTGAATAACAGGGAAACTTAAAGGGATGAGGAAGCAGAGAGCAGATATGAGAGGGACTGGCTTTCAGAGGTGATACAATCCAGAAAAGCTCTTCTTACTACCAGGGCTTTGTCACTTTCTCCAGTCGCACCGTCCCTCTGCAGAATTTGTGTCTGAAGGCTCCTGCGGGCTTTTGCTCTGTTTCAGCCCGTTCTGTGCTCCCTGCCAGAATGGCCAGCAATACCAGCAAGCTCCGAGTGTCACTGTCGTCCTCTTCCAAAAGAATTTCTCACCTTATGGCACGAGGCAACGAGAGTTCTTATTTAAAGTAACAGCAAGTTCCCAGTTAAGGTTACTTACTGAGCTGAGCAGGCTGTAGGGTGGGAGCTGGCATTTGGACAGCCTTAGATTTAACGTCACTCTTCAAAAACTCGTCTTTCACCTGGAATATATGGGAGGAAAGCAGATATTCTGTTGGGTCTCGCGGCAGCCAGCATAATGGCTCATTCATTCAACGACATTTTCCTCCAACGTATGTTGAAGGCTGTACTATCCCCTTGACTCTATAAGCCTTCTTCCACAACCCTTTGCGCACTCCGGGGCGCCGTGGCAGGGGACCCAGGGAGGAAGAGCAGCTCTCTGCTCCCCGCGCCCCCAAAGCGAGCGCCCAGGAGGGTCTCCCAAGCCGCAGGACCGGGGC